TGCATCCATGTTAAGATAGCTAGGAGAGAAAACAACTTATCGCAATCGTAGCAAGGACATTTTACCCTCAACAACTTAGCCAGTGCTTTGTAGGAAAAGACAAGTGCATTAGCTGGGTAGGCAGACTGTCATACTCTTAGTCATCAACCTCTGACAACAATATCTACGCTCTTAGAAGAAGAAAAAAGGTCCCAAAAGGGTTCTTCGGCTGTCCCCATAGTAGAACCGAAGTTTGAAGTTAGAAGTTTGGTTCTAGATACCACCTTTCTTTCTACACGTCACTCACCAAACTGACTCACCCCGCTCCCCCACCCCCGTAGTGGCCCCCTTCCAAAGCATCCCTCGAAAATTATCTGATCAGAGGTAGCTGGAGGAGGGGGGGGGGGGGGGGGTGTATTGAGGAAGCGTCACCCATTTAGGAGCAGAACATCTATGATTGAAAGGAAACCTAGCCACAAACCCCAAAACCCCATGTCACCTCTAACCTTTCCTCGTTGTCTCCAGCAGACTCTGCTGCTGTACAGCTCTCTGTCTCACATATAAATAAACCCCAGAGAGACACCAGGCCAGCATTACTGACTCACATTGACACTGCAGGTACAGACAGGTGCAGTCAACAGAGACTCCACAGCTTAACTCTAAAAAGGACTCCTTGAAAAGACTTTCTCAAAAGATTTTCGAAAAGACTTCTCAAGGGGGATATTTGATATATTTTGCAAGGCTTTTGTTCTGTGGATTGAAAGAACGTGAGCCGCTGTAACCAGGATAATAATATGAATTCAGCCCTGGGTCTTGTTGTAGTAGCATGGTTGGGACTCTGCTCTGTAGAGGTCCTGGGACGCCCCCACCACCACCCCAGCTCTGGCGTTGGGTCCAACTTCGTGTCCGGAAACATAGAGGGAGCCATCGACAACCTCATCGGCCCTTTGGTGAGTGAAAATAGAAAGCCTTAAACCTGCTTAAAATGATTTCTCTGGTCCGTGGTCATGGATGCGTCCCTAGTGCTACCGTGTTCAGTATTTAGTGCATTACTTTCGTGGTATATTGACCACATCCCACAAACCCAGAGGTGCCTCATTGCTATTATAAAGAGCTCACCAATGTAATTAGAACCGTAAACAAGTCGTTTTTTTTTTTGTGGTATAGGGTCTGATATACCATAGCTTTCAGCCAATCAGCATTCAGGGCTGGAACCACCCGGTTCATAATATCTTATAATGCACGTGGAACTATGAAAGTCCCGGCCTGTACTGCTGAGAGTTTCCCCCCTCTCCTGGCCTTCATCAGAGGACAAACAAGAAACTTACAGTCGACTTACAGAGACGTCTTGGGGATTTTCAAACCTCTTCATTTGGGGTCTCAGAGTTTCATGCAAATGTTCAAAGCCCCCCCCAAGGGTTAGATGTGGGCTATGATGTCTACAGTTACAGTAGCCTAGTTCCCACCATCAGAGAGAACCTCAGATAACAGGGAGGTTGCTCCCTAGGGGGAGGAGAGAGAAATGTGCCCTGAGTAACATCATTTGATTACGATGGAGAAAGCTTGTAAATTGAAAGGGATGTATTTTCCAACTTCATAATGTATACATTTTGAAAAAAGACAAGATCTATATGATAAATTGTTCTTAAAACTCTCAGTGAGTCTGGGTGCTAAAAGGAAAATGTACTCATTTTATTCAGAAACTGATGGACACCAGCCTGGTCGGGCACCCTGTCTTCCGAAAGCTCATGGGAGAGCTGGATGGCAAGTTTGAGGTAAATATCTCATTTTTAATTTATAGTTTTTTCAACAAATGTTACTGAACTCAAAAAGTTCTGTACATTGTTAGATTTTTCAGTTGTAACTTTGCATTCAAACTAAAAGCCAACATTATTTGTAGATTCAACCTGCTGGCCCTGCTGTTGTAGATTCAACCTGCTAGCCCAGCTATTGTAGATTAAAACAGCTGGCCCTGTTATTGTAGATTCATCCTGCTGTCCCTGTCAACCTGCTGGCCCTGCTATTGTAGATTAAATTCAATGTTTGCTAAGCTGCTGGCCCTGCTATTGTAGATTCAACCTGCTGGCCCTGTCAACCTGCTGGCCCTGCTATTGTAGATTAAATTCAATGTCTGCTAAGCTGCTGGCCCTGCTATTGTAGATTCAACCTGCTGGCCCTGTCAACCTGCTGGCCCTGCTATTGTAGATTCAATTCAAGGTCTGCTAAGCTGCTGGCCCTGCTATTGTAGATTCAACCTCAAGGTCTGCGGTCACATGTACTGAGGATGTACTCATTGTTAACGGTGTGCCTTTTCCCCCTGTCCTCTCCATTCTCTCCATCCTCTCTCTCTCTCTCTCTCTCTCCTGTCTCTCTCTCTCTCTCTCCTCCTCTCCTCTCTCTCGATCTCGTCTCTCTCTCTCTCTCTCTCTCTCTAGTCTGTCTGTCTCTCTCTCTCGCTCTCTCCCTCGTCCTCTCATTCTTCCTCTCTCTCTTCCTCTCTCTCTCTCTCTCTCTCTCTCTCTCTCTCTCTCTCTCTCTCTCTCTCTCTGTCTGTCTGTCTGTCTCTCTCTCTCTCCTCTCCCCCTGTGTGGTCTTCTCTCCATTAGAAGCATGAACAGTGGCTGCTCCTGAACACCACTCTGGTTGTGTACCTGAACATCTTCTCCAACATGCTGAACGAGACCCAGCCAGAGAACGTAAAGCAGGGCCTCACCAGCCTCCGCAGGAAGGTGGAGGAGCTGAAGAGGAACTACTACCAGGACCGACTGAAGATGAAGATACAGGAGCTGGCGGCCATTAAGGTGAAAAGACAAAACAAAGTCATTCAGTTATTCTGTTTGCATCCCAAATCGCATCCTGTTCCCTACATAGTGCATTACTTTAGACTGGAACCCTATGGGCCGTGGACAAACGTAGTGCACTATATAGGGAATAGGGTGCCATTTGGGAGGAGTCAGTGTAAAAAAAAAAGGTGTGAGAGAGAGAGAGAGAGAGAGGAGAGAGAGAGAGAGAGATGAGAGAGAGAGAGAGAGAGAGAGAAGATGAGGAAGAGAGAGAGAGATAGAGAGAGATAGAGAGAGAGAGAGAGAGAGAGAGAGAGAGAGAGAGAGAGAGAGAGAGTAAATATGTGCTTGTGCGGCTCATAGTTTTAAAAAATCCATTGTTGTCTGAATGCTGTCTTCCAAGTGTAGACACTCCACTGGTCACGTCAAGACGATGACGTCTCTCTAAATGTATGTTGTGACTTCTGTTTAGACGACTGATGCTGTTGTCCAGAGGAAGGCTGTGAACGAGTTCAAAGAGGTCTTCCAGAGAGCTTCCCAGCTGGGGCACATTCTCCATCAGAGAGCCGGGGACGCCACACAGGGCTGAGACCGGACAGAACCACCAACTGACTGATTGAGGACAAAAAACAGGAGAAGTGGATACCGGAAGAAAGGTGGAAACAGTCACTTTCCCAACGTATACTTAACTCACAGCTTCCTCCCCTACTGGTCACCATGCTTGTTCACGGTGCTATTTATTTAACTTAAACATAATTTAACATATTTATTTTACATTTAAGTGCAACGTAATAATGTGATGTTAGTATTTATAGTAGTGAATATTTAGCAACTTTGTACGAAGGGAATTTCCATTGGTCCTATAATAGTGGTAATTTAGTACTGTTTGATTTGATATCATAGTTCACTATCAATGAATTAAATGTACTGTATTTATATCCTAGGAATAAATTATCATGAAAATATATCCTGTTACATGTCTTGAGTCTGATTTTTTTTAAATGTGTTTTTTATCCAGTTTCCAATTAGGAATCGATGTTACTGAAACAACGTTTTTCTTAGTTCTCTTCTTCTTAATTCATGTGAGTAATTTTTTCAAATACAATTTAGTAACGGATGTAGAAAGCACCCAGTTTATTTCCCTAATGTGAATTAAAATTGTGCCGAGTCACATTACTTCTGGAACTGTAAAGATCAGATCGTTCGTTTGATGGCGTCCTGGGATGCGTGTGTTGTAAGAGCCTTTACTTCAAGGTCCCAACCTTTCCGTGTTGTCACCTGACGTGTTATGGGGTTGCGCCGTCCGGCCTACACAGAAAACCCCCCAACCAGTCATCGTTTCTGTGGTGACAGACTGACACCCTCAATCCTAGAGATGAACAATTTTTTTCTCTCATGGAAACTGACAAGTATCTGTTGAGTTCCAGTGTAAAGTTGGACACATTCACCCACAAATGCCATTGATGAGATGGACGCACCAGTGAGTGATGCTGCCTTGGCTTCTCTGAGCTGTATTTATATGTGGGAGTGTCCTTCAACAGAGTGCTGCTCCGAAGACGGCAGTTAGAGGTTACAGGGGTGAAAAATGTACTTATGATTGCAGAAGAGCATAATTTAAATTTAAATTAAAAAAAGACCACATTCATTACAATTTGTGTGAAAGTGACACAACTGAAAAAGCCTGAGTGTCACCAGTACCTAGCAACTAGCCTGAATTAGCAAAAGTGATTCATGAAATAAACAATTTTCAATAGATAGTTCAATCAAACCACATTCTTTCAACATCAATATTTGTTTGAAAGTGATGCCACTGTCCCACCTTTGAAAAAGCAAGGGTGTCAATGAAAGATAGCGTCAGCATCTATCTGAACTAGTATTAGCAAGTAGCAACTAGCATCTAGCAACACAGAAGTCAACAGACACCCCACATCCCTTCTCCTTGTCTTCCTCCTCTTCCCCCTCAGCATACCAACCTGGACTTTATTGCATCACCAAATAACTTTCCCAGAATGCCTCAAAACTACCTGCAGCATCACTCTATAGTTCCCTGGGGATTCCAACCCAAGACCCCATGCTCTGCTGCAAAAAAAAAAGGTGTTGTTGAGTGGGCCGTGTGATGGTGTGTGATTAAAAGGAAACCTCGCTCAGTCAGAGAACCCACAACCTCACACCTCTATCGTTCCAACTCTCTCTCTGCCTCTACCTCAACTATAAATACTTGTCTGTCTTAGCCTCAGCATCAGTCAGCCAGACACAGAAGACCTAGACTTGGGTAGGGTGAGTTACAAGGCAGTCTCGTTAAGTCAACTCAAAGTCAAGGCCTTTGACTTAAGATACAGTACACCGATTGAGGACTATTCAGCTTCGAGGGAACTTCAGCGTGAGGTTGTGGGCCATGGATGTGTTATCAAGGGCTGTGATGTGTTTCTGCTTGATGGGTTGGATGACTTTAGGATGGAGCAATGCTGCTACGTACACATCAAATACCTTGAAGAGCAACATAGACAAACTGAAGGGTCAACCATATGTCAAGTATCATACACAGGATAACTGGGCTAACCAGGGGTTCCTCCTGACTGACCCAGACACAGAAAATACATACAGATAGACAGCCAGAAGAGACCAGACAGGCAGGCAGAACAGGCATACATACACAAGACAAACAGACAGACACAGGACAGACAGACAGACAGACAGACAGACCAGACAGACAGACCAGACAATGACAAGACAGACAGATAGACAGGCAGGCCAGGCATACAAGACACCGATAAGACAGACAAGATAGGCAGACAGACGACGACAGACAGACAGGCATAAATAGACGCAGGCAGGCACGGAGGCAGGAGGGGGAACAGGAGGGAGGAGAGAAAAAGGAACAAACAAGACACTTTTACAGAAACCAAAAAAATTGAAAATTTCCTCTCGAAGTTTGCATCAGAAACTTTAGACCCGCTCCAAAACCCCCTAACCAAAGGGGAAATTGGAGTGGATTTTTAGAATCCCAAATTTGATAAAACCAAGAAAGGAGTTTTCACATTCTGCCCAAGCAGGGAAATACTTTTAGTGACATTTAAATAACTAAAATTTTAACAAAATAACAGTGCTTTCAAAATCCAAGGGCAGCTGGTCAAAAACCCAAATTTCCCCAAGCTTGAAGGTAGTTTATTGGGGGTTCTTGGGGTTTCATTTTAGGCTACTCCATGTTGATTTTCTGGCAAATAAATGGGTATTTTAAATTTTTTAATTTGGCCCCTTGGGCAGACGCTATATCGGGGTTTGGGGAGAAAGGATACCAAATTAAACCCCCTTAAAAGGGGAAAAGCAACAACACTGATTGGAGACATGTCTTGCTCTTTCAGAAGATCTCCAAGGACCAGCTGTTCAATGAAAACCCTGTTTTCCCCAAGGACACGTTTAAGGTAAGATATATTGTTACACATTGTTTCCCTTTCAGGCTAACATCACAAATGTGAAACTACTGCAAGCTTACCCTTGGGCTAGGCTGGAGACATTACATTACATTTTAGTCATTTAGCAGACGCTCTTATCCAGAGCGACTTACAGTTAGTGAGTGTATACATATTTATTTATTTTCATACCGGCCCCCCGTGGGAATCGAACCCACAACCCTGGCGTTGCAAACGCCATGCTCTACCAACTGAACTACATCCCTGCCGGCCATTCCCTCCCCTACCCTGGACGACGCTGGGCCAATTGTGCGCCGCCCCATGGGTCTCCCGGTCGCGGCCGGCTACGACAGAGCCTGGATTTGAACCAGGATCTCTAGTGGCACAGCGCCTTAGACCACTGCACCACTCGGGAGACAAAACTAAGGTTAAAGATATTAAAATGATTCTCTCTCTCTCTCTCCTCTCTCCTCTCTCTCTCCCTCTCTCTCCTCTCTCTCTCCTCCTTCTCTCGCTCTCTTCTCTCCATCTCTCCTCGTCTCTCCTCTCTTCGTCTGCTCTCTCTCTCTCTCTCTCTCTCTATCTCTCGTCCTCTCTCCTCTCTCTATCTCTCTCTCTCTCCTTCCTCCCTCCCTCCCTCCCTCAGGACAGTGAGCAGGAGGGTGTTGATGAGTGCGGTTCTGGACGTGTATCTGAGTATCTTCAGCCAGATGCTGAACCAGACGGTGGACCAGGAAGTGATGGAGAGGCTGGTCCAGGTCAAGGGGACGGTTAAGGAGCTCCAGAAACACTATTTCCTGGGGAGGATACCTGAGCTGAGGAGACACCTGCAGAACCTGTGGGCCATCAAGGTGAGCTTCCCTCCACAGCATCAATCAATCACTCAATCAATAATTTAACCCTTTGGGCCATCAAGGTGAGCTTCCCTCCATGGGGAAGAAGACCAAGTTACTGTAGACAGATTTGGTTTAGTCTTCATTTAATATTTTATTTGTTTTGGTACTCTGCCTGTAAATTACACAAGCCACACTTGTCTACAGTGTCTAAAGGCGTCAACATGCTGCAGTTCGGCTGCTGCCTAGCCGTGCTCGACTAGGTCGAACCAAACGAGTGTGCTCACATACTCTCTTAAAAGACCTTCGCTTGAAAATCAAGTAAAAAGCGGCAATAGTACTGTTTGTCCATTTTGAGACGCCGTAGCCAGTATACGCTTCCTCAAAATAGTCAGAATTAATCTAAGATAACTCAAGAAATCTGTCGTTAATTTTGCCGTTTTTACTGAGGAGATCTTTTGTAAAAGTGAAAACATTTGCATGAGGACGAGTCGTCTCTGGTTGACAAAAGGCACTTAATTGAAGAATCCCTACTGGTGACCAATCGCTGACGAGGGGGGCGTAGACTTCGGCTACCGACTTCGGCTTGCCTCAAGAAAAAAAAAATTGTGCTCGAACAGCCGGAAAAAAACCCTTGCAGAAGTCCAAAACAAACAAAAACGTCACAAAACGTCTTCATAATATATGCACAAACTGTTTTGAACTGTTTCGGCTGGGTCAGATTCATCGTTATAATCAGTGGCCAGTACGGATGATTAAGTAAAACCAAATCCCTGTCTCCATCTATGGCTAATTTAGGAAAGGGATGATTTTAGCTAGCTAGCTAGCCACCGGAGGACAACGACACAACGAGATGCAACAATTTTTTCTGGTAAATGACGTGTGATTGCGACGTGTAAATGTGATTGGTGTGAAGCCAAATTCAAACTGGCTTCACTTGACACTTTTTTTTCCTGGTGCTCCAGGACCAATCACAGTTGAGCTCACTCAGTTTAGCTCAATGCTGATTGGCTATTACTTTTATATTTTCTTTATCAAGGGAGGCCAAATGCTCGCTGGCTTCCCTTGCATTCAATGCTACGGCCGGCAACAATGTCGTACTTTTTTTTGACCACACTGCATTAGATAGACGGGCTACACATACTGAGAAAAACTGTTGTAAAATAAAATAATTTTGTAATGACATGAAGGCTATGTCAATTAGAATTAAACATCCCATGTGCTATGCAACCTTTTGATCAGCTGCTTTATGGATTAATAATCCTCTAGGACTGTGATACCCTCATCATGACTGTAGTGTAGTCGACTGTATGGAGACACCTGATGAACTGATAACCTGATAGTTAATGCTTGTATCTTCTATCTCAGACCAGTGACACCAGAGTCCAGGGGAAGGCTCTGTCCGAGTTCATTCCCATCTACGAGAAAGCCTCCCAACTGGCCAATCGGATTCATCTAAAGAAGGACAACCGCAGGAAGAGACGGCAAGCCCAGAGGCTCAAATCACACATCATGTAGATGACCAACCGCGTCTAGAGTGAAGATGTAGGGTGAAGTTACATCTAGACTCTGATCCTGGGTCAGTTTAGCATTTTCCCCACCAATGGTTAAGGTTAGGATTGGGGGAGGGGGAGCTGATCCCAGATCTGTACCTAGGGGAAACTTCCCCCCGGAGCCACAGTGGAGATACATTTACATTTACGTCATTTAGCAGACGCTCTTATCCAGAGCGACTTACAGTTAGTGAGTGCATACATTATTGTTACTTTATTTATTTATTTATTTTATTTATTGAATTTATTATGTTATTATTCTTTTAAAAAATTGTATCTGTTTTTTTTTTTTTTTTTTTTATTATTTTTTTTATACCCCCCCGTGGGAATCGAACCCACAACCCTGGCGTTGCAAACGCCATGCTCTACCAACTGAGCTACATCCCCTGCCGGCCATTCCCTCCCCTACCCTAGACGACGCTGGGCCAATTGTGCGCCGCCCCATGGGTCTCCCGGTCGCGGCCGGCTACCACAGAGCCTGGATTCGAACCAGGATCTCTAGTGGCACAGCTAGCACTGCGATGCATATTGATACATATTGAAGTTACATATTTACTTGATACAAAGTTCCTCAACTGGTCCTCTATTTATTTTATTAAGTTATTTAATCTATGAAATCACGCACAATACTCAGTGGTATATTATCATTGTCAAAAGAGTAATTATTTTTCATGAATCAAAAGGAATCTATTTTGTTAATTCATATGTATTATTTATTATTTAGAAAATGTTTTGTCTTCAATAGAAAGAGTTATTTATTGCAGATGATGCAAGTTCTGTAAGTTCTATGACTGAATAAACTGACATTGAGAAACAAGTTCTGATGACTGATATAATCTATCCACATGCACACGCACACGCACACACACACACACACACACACACATACACACACAGGCACACACGCACACACACACACACACACACTCACACACACACACACACACTGCTGTATGGAAATATCACACATTGGCTGACTGACTTTTATAATTGCTAATTTATTGAAACCAAAACCCTCCCCTGCATGGGGCCCACACAACGGCTGGGGCCCACATGGCATTCTGTTCTATTCTATTCCCTATGTAGTGCACTACTTTTGACCAGAGCCCTATGGTCCGTAGTGCACTACATAGAGAATGTGGTACCATTGGGCATGTACACAAAGTTGTTCAGATATCATGTCTGTGTGAGTTAAGTGGGTAACACACTGATGATTGAGTCTATGTAAAAAAAAAATTGTGTGTGAGAGAGAGAGAGCGAGAGAGAGAGAGAGAGAGGGGGGAGAGAGGGTGAAGTGATGCTCGACGATAGATGTGGGGATATGAGGGGAGTCTTTTTCGATCTCTCTCTCGAGCGCTCTCTCTATAGCTCTCTTTTTTGTGCTCGCTCTTCCTTTTTCTCTCTCTCGCTTCTCTCTCTCTTATCGCTCTCGCGCTCTCTCACTCTCCTCTTCTATCCCTATCTCTTAGCTGGATCTCTCGCTCCTCTGTTTTTTAGGGATGGTCAAGAGGGGGCAGAGGATCTAGGTGGGGGTTTGGGTGACGCTGGGAAGTCTAGGATTGCAGGTCACCGGAAAGGGTCCGTCCTCTACCTACGTTTCTTTATTTCGCTCATCCCCGCCGGCTCTCTCACTCTCTATTTATCCTCCATCCCTCCCTTCTCCTCCCTTCTTCCCCTCCCCTTGCCCACCCCCTCGGCATGCAGCACAGGGGGACAAAACACCTACCTTGGAGGTGGACAGCCATTCCCTTTCCCCCCCCATATGCCCCCCATAGGGCACAACTACGACACAAACCAACAAAAACGGTCACGACTCCTGCAGCTCTGTCGCACACTGGTATGTACATAGTCAATGGTAGGCTTCGAGGGGGACTCCTATGGTAGGTACACCTATAGCTCATCTCTTGGCAGTAGTTACTGTAGACTACTTTTTCACTGACCTCAACCCAGAGTCTCTCAGAGCGTTCACAGTCAGCCCACTGACAACCCCTATCAGACCACAAGCAAAATCACAGTCTACTTGAACAGAACAATACTCAATCATGAGGCATCAAAGCCAAAGGAACTGAATAATATTAAGAAATGCTATAGATGGAAGGAAAGTAGTGTTGAAACCTACCAAAAAACAATTAGGAAACAACAAATTCAATCCATTCTAGACAACTTCCTGAACAAAACCTTCCACTGTAATAGTGAAGGTGTAAACTTGGCAGTAGAAAACCTAAACAGTATATTTGACCTCTCAGCTTCCCTAAATCTAAAAATCTCTAACAGAAAACCAAAGAAAAGTAATAACAGTGATAAATGGTTTGATGAAGAATGCAAAAACCTAAGAAAGAAATTGAGAAACCTATCCAACCAAAAACATAGAGACCCAGAAAACCTGAGCCTACGCCTTCACTATGGTGAATCACTAAAACAATACAGAAATACACTACGGAAAAAGAAGGAACAGCATGTCAGAAATCAGCTCAATGTAATTGAAGAATCCATAGACTCTAACCACATCTGGGAAAATTGGAAAACACTAAACAAACAACAACATGAAGAGCTATCTATCCAAAACGGAGATGTATGGGTAAACCACCTCTCCAATCTTTTTGGCCCTATAACAGAGAACAAACAGCAAAAAAATATACATGATCAAATGCAAATCTTAGAATCAACTATTAAAGACTACCAGAACCCACTGGATTCTCCAATTACATTGAATGAACTACAGGACACAATACAAACCCTCCAACCCAAAAAGTCCTGTGGTGTTGATGGTATCCTCAATGAAATGATAAAATATACAGACCACAAATTTCAATTAGCTATACTTAAACTCTTTAACATCATCCTTAGCTCTGGCATCTTCCCCAATATTTGGAACCAAGGACTGATCACCCCAATCCACAAAAGTGGAGACAAATTGACCCCACTAACTACCGTGGGGGATATGCCGTCAATAGCAACCTTGGTAAAAATAAATCCTAATCCTCCTCTGCATTATATTAACCGCAGACTCGTACATTTTCCTCAGTGAAAACAATGTACTGAGCAATGTCCAATTGGGCTTTTTTATTATAATATTTTTTAAGTTAATTTATTGTTTTTTTCTTTACACTTTTATTTATTTTCCATACTTTTTTTCATATCGACCCCAACTCTACCGGAGTCCTACACCCTCCCACCTTTTCCCCCTTCCCAGGCCCTATTGACAACAAACAAACCAAAACCAAGGCAAAGTGGATACACCGGAGAGAAAGGTGGAACCGTCACTTCTCCCAACGTATACTTAACATCCACAATCTTTCCTCCCCTACTTTCCGCTTCCTCCTCCTCCTCCCTCCTCCTCCCCTACTGTTCCATGCTTGTTTCACGGTCTATTTATTTAAACTTAAACAAATTTAACCCATTTTTTATTTTAATCATTTAAGTGCAACGTAATAACGTGATGTTAGTATTTATAGTAAGTGAATATCTAGCAACTTTGTATGAAGGGAATTTCCATTGGTCCTATAATAGTGTTAATGTAGTACTATTTGATTTGATATCATAGTTCACTATCAATGGATCGAATGTACTGTATTTATATCCTAGGAATAAATTATCATGAAAATATATCCTGTTACATGTCTTGAGTCTGTTTTTTTAAATCCAGTTTCAAATTAGGAATCGATGTTACCGAAGTGCAGTTATTTCTTAGTAGGCCTAAAGTTGTTCTTAAAGTGTGATATTTGAATATTGGATGAATTTCATAATGGATCTAGAGAGCATCGGTTTTATTTCCCTGAAGTGAATTAAATTGTGCTGAGTCACAATACAGTGCATTTGGAAAGTATTCTGACCCCTTGACTTTTTCCACATTTTGTTACGTTACAGCCACAATATCCCATAATGACAAAGCCAAAACAGGTTGATAGAAATTTTTGCAAATTTGTAAAATAAATAAATATACTGAAATATCACATTTACATAAGTATTCAGACTCTTTACTCAGTACTTTGTCGAAGCACCTTTGGCAGCAATTACAGCCTCGAGTCTTCTTGGGTATGACGCTACAAGCTTGGCGCACCTGTATTTGGGGAGTTTCTCCCATTCTTCTCTGAAGATCCTCTCAAGCTCTGTCAGGTTGGATGGGGAGTGTTGCTGCACAGCTATTTTCAGGTCTCTCCAGAGATGTTCGATCAGGTTCAAGTCGTGGCTCTGGCTGGGCCACTCAAGGACATTCAGAGACTTGTCCCGAAGCCACTCCTGCGTTGTCTTGGCTGTGTGCTTAGGGTCGTTGTCCTGTTGGAAGGTGAACCTTCGCCCCCAGTCTGAGGTCCTGAGCGCTCTGGAGCAGGTTTTCATCAAGGATCTCTCTGTACTTTGCTCCGTTCATCTTTCCTTGATCCTAACTAGTCTCCCAGTCCATGCCGCTGAAAAAAATCCCCACAGCATGATCCTGCCACCACCATGCTTAACCGTAGGGATGGTGCCAGGTTTTCTCCAGACGTGACGCTTGGCATTCAGGCCAAAGAGTTCAATCTTGGTTTCATCATTTACATTTTAGTCATTTAGCAGACGCTCTTATCCAGAGCGACGTACAGTTAGTGAGTGCATACATTTACATACTGGCCCCCCGTGGGAAACGAACCCACAACCCTGGCGTTGCAAACGCCATGCTCTACCAACTGAGCTACACAGGACCGTCAGACCAGAGAATCTTGCTTCTCATGGTCTGAGAGTCTTTAGGTGCCTTTTGGCAAACTCCAAGCGGGCTGTCATGTGCCTTTTACTGAGGAGTGGCTTCCGTCTGGTCACGCTACCATAAAGGCCTGATTGGTGGAGTGCTGCAGAGATGGTTGTCCTTCTGGAAGGTTCTCCCATCTCCACAGAGGAACTCTAGAGCTCTGTCAGAGTGACCATCGGGTTCTTGGTCACCTCCCTGACCAAGGCCCTTCTCACCCGATTGCTCAGTTTGGCTGGGTGGCCAGCTCTAGGAAGAGTCTTGGTGGTTCCAAACTTCTTCCATTTAAGAATGATGGAGGCCACTGTGTTCTTGGGGACCTTCAGTGCAACAGAACGTTTTTGGTACCCTTCCCAAGATCTGTGCCTCGACACAATCCTGTCTCGGAGCTCTACAGACAATTCCTTCGACCTCGTGGCTTGGTTTTGTGCTGACATGCACTGTCAACTGTGAGACCGTATATAGACAAGTGTGTGCCTTTCTGAATCATGTCCAATCAATTGAATTTACCACATGTGGACTCCAATCAAGTTGAATAAACATCTCAAGGATGCTCAATGGAAACAGGATGCACCTGAGCTCAATTTCGAGTCTCCTAGCAAAGGGTCTGAATACTTATTTTAAATAAGGTATTTCTCTTTTTTTATTTTTAATAAATTTGCAAAAATTTCTAAAAGCCTGTTTTCGCTTTGTCATTATGGGATATTGTGTGTAGATTGCTGAGGAAGAAAAAATATTTAAGCAATTTTAGAATAAGGCTGTAATGTAACAAAATGTGGAAAAGTCAAGGGGTCTGAATACTTTCCGAAGGCACTGTATTTCCGATTGCAGTTCCGGAAACTGTAAAGATGAGATCATTAATTCGGTGGTGTCCCGGGGTTCTGGAACTGCGAAGGTGATGTCATTAATTCGGTGGTGTCCCGGGTTTCTGGAACTGTAAAGGTGAGATCATTCATTCAGTGCGTCCCAGGATGAGTGTGTCGTAGGAACATTTATTTCAGATCCCACCTTTCTGTTTTGTCACCTGACGTGTTATGGGGTTGAACGGGCGGCCTACGCTGAAACCCCAACCCGTCATTCTTTCTGAGGTGACAGATTGACACCCTCAACCCATCTCTCTCTCATGGAAACTGACAAGCATCTATCTGCACTAGCAACTAGCAACTCGCCTAGGAATAAGCAATTTTCAATAGATAATTAAATCAAGCCACATTCTTTCAATATCAGTATTTGTTTGATAATGATGCCACTGTCCCACCTTTGAAAAAGCCTGGGTGTGTCAATGACAGAGTACGCTCAGCCATCTATCTGTACTAGCATTAGCAACTAGCAACTAGCATCTAGCAACACAGAAGTCTTCTAGGAAATGCTCTGACAGTTTTGCTCTGACAGACCAAGCCCCTTCCTGTTTCACACCATGTAGGGCCCATCTAAGTGCTGAGACAGGATGCGTCTCAAAAGTAGTGCACTAAATAGGGAATAGGGTGCCATTTGGGAAGCTAGCACTCTGCCAATAAAGAGAAATAAAGACTTTTGATTTGAATTGATGAGAGAGAGAGAGAGAGAGGAAGCAGCAGAGAGAGGAGAAGAGAGAGAGAGAGAGGAGAGAGAGCGAGGAGCGAGATAGGAGAGCGATGAGAGAGAGAGTAGGCAGAGAGAGGAGAGAGAGATAGGAGAGAAGAGAGACAAGAGAGAGAAGGAGAGAGAGCCGAGAGAGAGTTGAGAGAGAGAGAGAGAGAGGCAGAGAGAGCGAGAGATAGAGGCAGAGAGAGCGAGAGAGAGAGAGAGGAGAGAGAGAGAGAGAGAGAGAGAGAGAGAGAGAGAGAGAGATACCAAGAAAAAGTAGATGTTCTTTCCCCACAAAATATGAACTATATGTAAACTACAGTAGATGATAATAAAATAGATGGACTATAGCTGGTTTACAGTTTACAGTCAATGCACATCAAGATTTGAATGAATTAAGGAATATTGATGAATAATGAAGGAATAATGATGAATATTCTCTATATATTGAAACATTTATGCGCATTATCCATCATATGTATGTACACTATATATTCAAAAGTATGTGGACATCCCTTAAAATTAGTGGATTTGGCTATTTCAGCCACACCAGTTGCTGACAGGTGTATAGAATCGAGCACACAGCCATGCAATCTCCATAGACAAACACTGGCAGTAGAACGGGCTCAGCAGCGAAGTGGTAGGCCACATGAGCTCACAGAATGGGACTGCCGAGTGCTGAAGCAAGTAGCGCGTAAAAATCCTCTGTCCTCGGTTGCAACACTCACTACCGAGTTCCAAACTGCCTCTGGAAGCAACATCAGCACAATAGCTGTTAGTCGGGAGCTTCATGAAATGGGTTTCCATGGCCGAGCAGCCATGCACAATGCCAAGCGTGGGCTGGATTGGTGTAAAGCTCGCTGTTATTGAACTCTGGAGCAGTGGAAACGGGTTCTCTGGAGTGATGAATCACGCTTCACCATCTGGCAGTCCGACGGATGAATTTGGGTTTGGCAGATGCCAGGAGAATGCCACCTGTCCAAATGTTTTTCCCTTAGTTCCAGTGAAGGGACATTTTAACGCTACAATGACAATGATATTCTAGACAATTCTGTGCTTCCAACTTTGTGGCAACAGTTTGGGGAAGGTCCTTTCCTGTTTCAGCATGACAATGCCCCCGGGCACAAAGTGAAGTCCATACAGAAATGGTTTGTCGAGATCGGTATGGAAGAACTTGACTGGCCTGCACAGAGCCCTGACCTCAACCCCATCGAACACCTTTGGGATGAATTGGAACGCAGACTGCGAGCAAGCGCCTAATCGCCCAACATCAGTGCCCGACCTCACTAATGCTCTTGTGGCTGAATGGAAGCAAGTCCCCGCAGCAATGTTCCAACATCTAGTGGAAAGCCTTCCCAGAAGAGTGGAGGCTGTTATAGCAGCAAAGGAGGGGGGACCAACTCCATATTAATATCCATGATTTTAGAATGAGATGTTCGACGAGCAGGTTTCCACATACTTTTGGTCAATAGTATACATTTATTTATATTATTTGAGTATCTTATGACTATGTATTCAACTTTCAGCTGTGTTCTAAACGGCACCCTATTAGTTACGGCAGCAACAAATAAAGAGCGTGACAGCATTGGTGTTAGTTTCAGTATTACATCAAACCATAACATCAACCAACCACCTGATTTTACAACAAACCCAGTCGCTGGGAAAAAAAAAAAAACCACAGTTCCATTAGTTGATCAGCTGGAACCACTAATCACGAACCGCCCGTATGGCTCTGGTGAACAGTAGTGCACTATGTAGGGAAAGAAGAGAGCTATGCCTACAGAAACTAGGGGACGTGTCCCAAATGGCACCTTATGGACCCTGGTGAAAAGTAGTGCACTACATAGGGAATAGGGTGCCATTTGGGACATTGACAAGCTTTTCACCTGTTAATGCTGAGATGACTTCAACCCAGACACCCCACCTCCCTTCTCCTCGTCCTCCTCCTCTTCCCACTCAGCATACCAACCTGAACTTTATTGCATCACCAAAGAACTTCCCCAGAACGCGTCAAAACTACCTGTTTCCTAGGGATTCCAACCCGAGACCCCATGCTCTGCTGCAAAAAAAAAGGTGTTGTTGAGCGGGCCGTATGTTGGTGTATGATTTAAAGGAAACCTCGCTCAGTCAGAGAACCCACAACCTCACACCTCTATCGTTTCAATTCTCTCTCTGCCTCTGCCTCAACTATAAATACTTGTCTGTCTTAGTCTCAGCATCAGTCAGCCAGACACAGAAGACCTAGACTTGGGTAGGGTGAGTTACAAGGCAGTCTCGTTAAGTCAACTCAAAGTCAAGGCCTTTGACTTAAGATACAGTACACCGATTGAGGACTATTCAGCTTCGAGGGAACTTCAGCGTGAGGTTGAGGACCATGGATGTGTTATCAAGGGCTGTGATGTGTTTCTGCTTGATGGGTTGGATGACTTTAGGATGGAGCAATGCTGCTACGTACACATCAAATACCTTGAAGAGCAACATAGACAAACTGAAGAACACCTATGTAAGTATCATACACATTATTAACTGGGCTAACAGGGGTTTCTCCTGACTGACAGACACAGAAAGGCAGGCAGACAGACAGACAGACAGACAGACAGACAGACAGACAGACAGACAGACAGACAGACAGACAGACAGACAGGCAGGCAGGCAGGCAGGCAGGCAGGCAGGCAGGCAGGCAGGCAGGCAGACAGGCAGAGAGACAGACAGGCAGACAGGCAGGCAGACATACACAGACAGACAGACAGACAGACAGACAGACAGACAGACAGACAGACAGACAGACAGACAGACAGACAGACAGACAGACAGACAGACAGACAGACAGACAGACAGACACAGAAAGACAGACAGATATGGCCTCCCCTAATTGGAGGCCAACAGTAGAACAGAAGAGGCGGGCTTTAGACTCCTGCTTCCTAATGGGAGACCAACAGTAGGACAGAACAGGGGGAACTTTAGACTCCTGCTTCCTAATGGGAGACCAACAGTAGGACAGGACAGGGGGAACTTTAGACTCCTGCTTCCTGATGGGAGACCAACAGTAGGACAGGACAGGGGGAACTTTAGACTCCTGCTTCCTGATGGGAGACCAACAGTAGGACAGGACAGGGGGAACTTTAGACTCCTGCTTCCTAATGGGAGACCAACAGTAGGACAGAAGAGGGGGAACATTGGATGTGGATGAGTTAGAGATTAAATGTTTGACTAAAACCAAGAGGAGTTACACCCTTTCTGCCCAAGCAGGAAATACTTTTCAGTGAGATTGAAATGAAATTGACAATTGTCACATCATCATAACAGTGCATTTCCAGGTAGGCTTATAGACACCTGATCTGGCTCAAATACTTCCAAGCATCTGAGGTGAGCTTTAGCTTGGATGTAGCTTGGAGTTTGCACTTTTTGGGACTACTCCATTGTTGCCATTGTACCGGACAAACTAAAATAAGTATTTTAAATGATTTGACGTATTTAGGCCAGGTCTGACAGACACTATACTCGGGATTAGAAGTAGAGGCCACTATATGCAATAAACTTCACCATATTGATTGTCAACATATCTTGCTCTTTCAGAAGATCTCCAAGGACCAGCTGTTCAATGGAAAACCTGTTTTCCCCAAGGACACGTTTGAGGTAAGATATATTGTTACACATTGTTTTCCCTTTCAGGCTAACATCACAAATGTGAAACTACTGCAAGCTTACCCTTGGACTAGGCTGGAGACAAAACTAAGGTTAAAGATATTAAAAGTCTTCTCTCTTTCTCTCTCTCTCTCTCTCTCTATCTCTCTCTCTCTCTCTCTCTCTCTCTCTCTCTCTCTCTCTCTCTCTCTTCCACTCTCTCTTCCACTCTCCCTTCCTTCCTTCCTTCCTTCCTTCCTTCCTTCCTTCCTTCCTTCCTTCCTTCCTTCCTTCCTTCCTTCCTTCCTTCCTTCCTTCCTTCCTTCCTTCCTTCATTCCCTCCCTCCCTCCCTCCCTCCCTCCCTCCCTCAGGACAGTGAGCGGAGGGTGTTGATGAGTGCGGTTCTGGACGTGTATCTGAGTATCTTCAGCCAGATGCTGAACCAGACGGTGGACCAGGAAGTGATGGAGAGGCTGGTCCAGGTCAAGGGGAAGGTTCAGGAGCTCCAGAAACACTATTTCCTGGGGAGGATACCTGAGCTGAAGAGACACCTGCAGAACCTGTGGGCCATCAAGGTGAGCTTTCCTCCATGCGGTACGAGACCAACACAGATCTGGTTTAGTCTGCTTTCACATGTCATCATTTAATATTTTAGCAGATGAAGCCACATAGCAATGACATGTACTCATAAATCTTTATGTAATGACATAAGTAGTCTATGTCAATTAGAATTAAACATCCCATGGGCTATGCAACCTTTTGATCAGCTGCTTTATGGATTAATAATCATCTAGGACTGTGATACCATAATCATGACTGTAGTGTAGTCGACTGTAGACTCCCGAGTGGCGCAGTGGTCTAAGGCACTGCATCACAGTGCCAGCTGTGCCACTAGAGATCCTGGTTCTAATCCAGGCTCTGTCGTAGCCAGCCGCGACCGGGAGACCCATGGGGCGGCGCACAATTCGTCCAGGGTAGGGGAGGGAATGGCCGGCAGGGATGTAGCTCAGTTGGTAGAGCATGGCGTTTGCAATGCCAGGGTTGTGGGTTCAATTCCCACGGGGGGCCAGTATAAAAAAAAAAATCATGACTGTAGTGTAGTCGACTGTATGGAGACAACTGATAACCTGATAGTTAATGCTTGTATCTTCTATCTCAGACCAGTGACACCAGAGTCCAGGGGAAGGCTCTGTCCGAGTTCATTCCCATCTACGAGAAAGCCTCCCAACTGGCCAATCGGATTCATCTGAAGAAGGACAACCGCAGGAAGAGACGGCAAGCCCAGAGGCTCAAATCACACATCATGTAGATGACCAACCGCGTCTAGAGTGAAGTTTGGAGGGTGAAGTTACATCTAGACTCTGATCCTGGGTCAGTTTAGCATTTTCCCCACTAATAGTTAAGGTTAGGATTGGGGGGAGGGGGAGCTGATCCCAGATCTGTACCTAGGGGAAACTTCCCCCCGGAGCCACAGTGGAGATACATATTGAAGTTACATATTTACTTGATGCAAAGTTCCTCAACTGATCCTCTATTTATTTTATTAAGTTATTTAATCTATGAAATCACGCACAATACTCAGTGGTATATTATCACTGTCAAAAGAGTAATTATTTTTCATGAATCTAAAGGAATCTATTTTGTTAATTCATATTTATTATTTATTATCTAGAAAATGTATTGTCTTCAATAGAAATAGTTATTTCTTGCAGATGATGCAAGTTTTGTAAGTTCTATGACTGAATAAACTGACATTGAGAAAACTGATGTCATCTATCCACACACACACGTACGCACACCCACAGACACAACACACACACACAGAAACGCACACACAGACACGCACACACACACGCACACACAGACACACACATACACGCACACACAGACACACACACAATCACACACATACACACACTAGTCTATGTGGAGGCTGTATGGAAATATCACACATTGGCTTACAGACTTTTATAATTGCTCATTTATTGAAACCAAAACCCTCCCCTGCATTGGGCCCACACAACGGGCCGTGTCCCAAATGGGCAGCCCATAGGGTCCTGGTCTAAAGCAGTGCACTATATAGGGGATAGGGTGTCATTTGGGACGGGCACAATATAACACCACAAGCCGTCTGTCCTCAGAAACAGCATTAAACCAAACACACTAACCAAAACACTTGTTTTTATAAGTTTAAAGATCAACACTTATGTTTATCTGTCTTGTGTGAATATTGATGTTATGTTGCTGTTGGTATGTTTACTTTACAAATCTTATCCAACTTGACACAACTTGGCAGTTTTTTTTCTGGGAACATTAAAGTAATTATACTCTAAAAATAGACAAACTCACGAACAATTCACCTAAGAATAGACTTAGAAATAGACAAGACAGCTCAGCTAAGATGCCGAACCAGCAGCAAGGGATTTCCCCCTGCAGAGAATGAGGTAGAATTTGACCCTTTGCTAAATCCCGCCCACCTTGGTTACTGTTGCAACCTCGGACAACATTTTCCCGGAAAGCCCAATCCCCTCACAGTGATCTCAAACTGTGTTTCTAATGCACAATGCAATTAAACACAGATTACCCCTTGCTAATCAGGAAACTCTTGGGTGGTGGACTGTCATTACAATTGCTTCATGGGAACCTGGTAAAATTACGTTTGTAGCCTAGTGTAGCTAGCCACTGAATGGCTCCGAATTCACTGTAAGCACGCAGTCAAAGCTATAGCCACTTCTGGAGCTAACTAGTGCTCTCAAATCGGATGCTGATGTCCACAGCAGATGGGAGTTGTATTCATAGCATTACTAACTTAGCTAGCTAACATATATTTTAAGTGGCTAGCTAGCGTTAGCAACGTTTGGTGGTCAATGAGACTGAGAGCTAGCTAACCAGCTGAGCAAGCAAACAACGTAACAAAAGTATAATTTCAGATTTCAGAAAAATACTCCATCAACAGGCTCTGCATTTTAAGGAATCACAGTAGCAAGAACTCCTGGTGCACTGTTAAATTGTTTAGCCATTTATTTGTATTTATTTGATCCGTTTTTGCCATAGCCCTGACAGGCTTTCATTCATTTAAACATGAGCTTGTCCGAGGTCAGACTCCACGACAGTTGCTATCCATTGGAGCGCTGCGATTGGTTGCCCAAATTTCTGGGGCGGGCTTAGCGAAGGGTCAATTGTTTCCCAGCTAGTCATCCATTTCTTCACCATCTAGTCCAACAATCTACTAACTATTATGCATGTGAAAAACTAACTCTTATCCTTGGGAGAAACAAACTATTATGCATGGGAAAAACTAACTATCATCCATGGGTAAAACAAACTATTATCCATGGGAAAAACAAACTATCATCCATGGGAAAAACAAACTATTATCCATGGGAAAAACTCACTATCATCCATGGGAAAAATGCACTATTATCCGTGGGAAAAAATAACCATCATCAACTCCCGAGTGGCGCAGTGGTCTAAGGCACTGCATCGCAGTGCTAGCTGTGCCACTAGAGATCCTGGTTCGAATCCAGGCTCTGTCGTAGCCGGCCGCGACCGGGAGACCCATGGGGCGGCGCACAATTCGTCCAGGGTAGGGGAGGGAATGGCCGGCAGGGATGTAGCTCAGTTGGTAGAGCATGGCATTTGCAATGCCAGGGTTGTGGGTTCAATTCCCACGGGGGGCCAGTATTAAAAAAAAAATCATGACTGTAGTGTAGTCGACTGTATGGAGACACCTGATGAACTGATAACCTGATAATTAATGCTTGTATCTTCTATCTCAGACCACTGACACCAGAGTCCAGGGGAAGGCTCTGTCTGAGTTCATTCCCATCTACGAGAAAGCCTCCCAACTGGCCAATCGGATTCATCTGAAGAAGGACAACCGCAGGAAGAGACGGCAAGCCCAGAGGCTCAAATCACACATCATGTAGATGACCAACCGCGTCTGGAGTGAAGGTGTAGGGTGAAGTTACCTCTAGACTCTGATCCTGGGTCAGTTTAGCATTTTCCCCACTAATAGTTAAGGTTAGGATTGGGGGAGGGGGAGCTGATCCCAGATCTGTACCTAGGGGAAACTTCCCCCCGGAGCCACAGTGGAGATACATATTGAAGTTACATATTTACTTGATGCAACGTTCCTCAACTGATCCTCTATTTATTTTAAGTTATTTAATCTATGAAATCACGCACAATACTCAGTGGTATATTATCATTGTCAAAAGAGTTTTTATTTTTCATGAATCGAAAGGAATCTATTTTGTTAATTCATATTTATTATTTATTATTTAGAAAAAGCTTTTCTCTTGAATAGAAAGAGATATTTATTGCAGATGATGCAAGTTTTGTAAGTTCTATGACTGAATAAACTGACATTGAGAAAACTGATGCCATCTATCCACACACACACGTACGCACACCCACAGACACAACACATACACACAGAAACGCACACACAGACACGCACACACACGCACACACAGACACACACATACACGCACACACAGACACACACACAATCACACACATACACACACTAGTCTATATGGAGGCTGTATGGAAATATCACACATTGGCTTACAGACTTTTATAATTGCTAATTTTTTTGAAACCAAAACCCTCCCCTGCATTGGGCCCACACAACGGTCCGTGTCCCAAATGGGCAGCCCATAGGGTCCTGGTCTAAAGCAGTGCACTATATAGGGGATAGGGTGTCATTTGGGACGGGCACAATATAACACCACAAGCCGTCTGTCCTCAGAAACAGCATTAAACCAAACACACTAACCAAAACACTTGTTTTTATAAGTTTAAAGATCAACACTTATGTTTATCTGTCTTGTGTGAATATTGATGTTATGTTGCTGTTGGTATGTTTACTTTACAAATCTTATCCAACTTGACACAACTTGGCAGTTTTTTTTCTGGGAACATTAAAGTAATTATACTCTAAAAATAGACAAACTCACGAACAATTCACCTAAGAATAGACTTAGAAATAGACAAGACAGCTCAGCTAAGATGCCAAACCAGCAGCAAGGGATTTCCCCCTGCAGAGAATGAGGTAGAATTTGACCCTTTGCTAAATCCCGCCCACCTTGGTTACTGTTGCAACCTCGGACAACATTTTCCCGGAAAGCCCAATCCCCTCACAGTGATCTCAAACTGTGTTTCTAATGCACAATGCAATTAAACACAGATTACCCCTTGCTAATCAGGAAACTCTTGGGTGGTGGACTGTCATTACAATTGCTTCATGGGAACCTGGTAAAATTACGTTTGTAGCCCAGTGTAGCTAGCCACTGAATGGCTCCGAATTCACTGTAAGCACGCAGTCAAAGCTATAGCCACTTCTGGAGCTAACTAGTGCTCTCAAATCGGATTCTGATGTCCACAGCAGATGGGCGTTGTATTCATAACATTACTAACTTAGCTAGCTAACATATATTTTAAGTGGCTAGCTAGCGTTAGCAACGTTTGGTGGTCAATGAGACTGAGAGCTAGCTAACCAGCTGAGCAAGCAAACAACGTAACAAAAGTATAATTTCAGATTTCAGAAAAATACTCCATCAACAGGCTCTGCATTTTAAGGAATCACAGTAGCAAGAACTCCTGGTGCACTGTTAAAACTAAATATAATCAATGGGAAAAACTAACTCTCATCCATGGGAGAATCTCACTATTATCCATGTGAAAAATGTACTATTATCTGTGGGGAAAAATAACCATCATCCATGGAGAAAACTAAATATAATAATCAATGGGAAAAACTAACTCTCATCCATGGGAAAAACATTTTTGTTTTTGTCCTAGCACTAATACACCTGATTCAACTAAAGGCATGATGATGAGATTAAACATGTTTTGCACCCCTTTAGGACCAGGTTTTGGGAAATACTTAGTTAGGGTTAGGAAACACTGGGTTAGGAAACACTGGGTTAGGAAACACTGGGTTAGGGTTAGGAAACACTGGGTTAGGGTTAGGAAACACTGGGTTAGGGTTAGGGTTAGGAAACACTGGGTTAGGGTTAGGAAGCAATGGGTTAGGAAACACTGGGTTAGGAAACACTGGGTTAGGGTTAGGAAGCACTGGGTTAGGAAACACTGGGTTAGGAAACACTGGGTTAGGGTTAGGAAGCACTGGGTTAGGGTTAGGAAACATAGGGTTAGGAAACACTGGGTTAGGGTTAGGAAACACTGGGTTAGGGTTAGGAAGCACTGGGTTAGGGTTAGGAAACATAGGGTTAGGAAACACTGGGTTAGGGTTAGGAAACACTGGGTTAGGGTTAGGAAACACTGGGTTAAGGTTAGGAAACATAGGGTTAGGAAACACTGGGTTAGGGTTAGGAAACACTGGGTTAGGGTTAGGAAACACTGGGTTAGGGTTAGGGTTAGGAAACACTGGGTTAGGGTTAGGAAACACTGGGTTAGGGTTAGGAAACACTGGGTTAGGGTTAGGAAACACTGGGTTAGGAAACACTGGGTTAGGGTTAGGAAACACTGGGTTAGGAAAGACTGGGTTAGGGTTAGGAAACACTGGGTTAGGGTTAGGGAACACTAGGTTAGGGTTAGGAAACACTAGGTTAGGGTTAGGGTTAGGAAACACTGGGTTAGGGTTAGGAAACACTGGGTTAGGGTTAGGGTTAGGGAACACTAGGTTAGGGTTAGGAAACACTAGGTTAGGGTTAGGGTTAGGAAACACTGGGTTAGGGTTAGGAAACACTGGGTTAGGGTTAGGAAACACTAGGTTAGGGTTAGGAAACACTAGGTTAGGGTTAGGGTTAGGAAACACTGGGTTAGGGTTAGGAAACACTAGGTTAGGGTTAGGAAACACTGGGTTAGGGTTAGGAAGCACTGGGTTAGGAAACACTGGGTTAGGAAAGACTGGGTTAGGGTTAGGAAACACTGGGTTAGGAAACACTGGGTTAGGAAACACTGGGTTAGGAAAGACTGGGTTAGGGTTAGGAAACACTGGGTTAGGGTTAGGAAACACTGGGTTAGGGTTAGGAAACACTAGGTTTAGGGTTAGGAAACACTGGGTTAGGGTTAGGAAGCACTGGGTTAGGAAACACTGGGTTAGGAAACACTGGGTTAGGAAAGACTGGGTTAGGGTTAGGAAACACTGGGTTAGGGTTAGGAAACACTGGGTTAGGGTTAGGAAACACTAGGTTAGGGTTAGGAAACACTGGGTTAGGGTTAGGGTTAGGAAACACTGGGTTAGGGTTAGGAAAGACTGGGTTAGAGTTAGGAAACACTGGGTTAGGGTTAGGAAACACTGGGTTAGGGTTAGGAAGCACTGGGTTAGGGTTAGGAAACACTGGGTTAGGGTTAGGAAACACTGGGTTAGGGTTAGGAAACACTGGGTTAGGGTTAGGGTTAGGAAACACTGGGTTAGGGTTAGGAAACACTGGGTTAGGGTTAGAAAACACTGGGTTAGGGTTAGAAAACACTGGGTTAGGGTTAGGGAACACTGGGTTAGGGTTAGGGTTAGGAAACACTGGGTTAGGGTTAGGAAACACTGGGTTAGGGTTAGAAAACACTGGGTTAGGGTTAGAAAACACTGGGTTAGGGTTAGGGAACACTGGGTTAGGGTTAGGAAACACTGGGTTAGGAAACACTGGGTTAGGGTTAGAAAACACTGGGTTAGGGTTAGGGAACACTGGGTTAGGGTTAGGAAACACTAGGTTAGGGTTAGGAAACACTGGGTTAGGGTTAGGAAGCACTGGGTTAGGGTTAGAAAACACTGGGTTAGGAAACACTGGGTTAGGGTTAGGGAACACTGGGTTAGGGTTAGGAAACACTGGGTTAGGAAAGACTGGGTTAGGGTTAGGGTTAGGGAACACTGGGTTAGGGTTAGGGAACACTGGGTTAGGGTTAGGAAACACTGGGTTAGGGTTAGGGTTAGGAAACACTGGGTTAGGGTTAGGGTTAGGAAACACTGGGTTAGGGTTAGGAAGCAATGGGTTAGAGTTAGGAAACACTGGGTTAGGAAACACTGGGTTAGGGTTAGGGAACACTGGGTTAGGGTTAGGGAACACTGGGTTAGGGTTAGGAAACACTGGGTTAGGGTTAGGAAACACTGGGTTAGGAAACACTGGTTTAGAAAGCCCATTCAGTCTCTCTGAATATCCATGGTCATCCATTCTGGGTCCTTTCAGATACTGTTCTTGTCACATACAGTTGAAGTCAGAAGTTTACATACACTTAGGTTGGAGTCATTAAAACTAGTTTTTCAACCACTCCACAAATTTCTTGTTAACAAACTATACTTTTGGCAAGTCGGATAGGACATCTACTTTGTGCATGACACAAGCAATTTTTCCAACAATTGTTTACAGACAGATTATTTCACTTATAATTCACTGTATCACAACTCCAGTGGGTGAGAAGTTTACATACACTAAGTTGACTGTGTCTTTAAACAGCTTGGAAAATTCCAGAAAATGATGTCATGGCTTTAGAAGCTTCTGATAGGCTAATTGACATAATTTGAGTCAATTGGAGGTGTACCTGTGGATGTATTTCAAGGCCTACCTTCAAACTCAGTGCCTCTTTGCTTGACATCATGGGAAAATCAAAAGAAATCAGCCAAGACCTCAGAAAAAAAGTCTGGTTCATCCTTGGGAGCAATTTCCAAACGCCTGAAGGTACCACGTTCATCTGTACAAACAATAGTACGCAAGTATAAACACCATGGGACCACGCAGCCGTCATACCGCTCAGGAAGGAGACGCATTCTGTCTCCTAGAGATGAACGTACTTTGGTGCGAGAAGTGCAAATCAATCCCAGAACAACAGCAAAGGACCTTGTGAAGATGCTGGAGGAAACAGGTACAAAAGTATCTATATCCACAGTAAAACTAGTCCTATAT